CATGAGGGTCATTTTGGTATAGAAAATGTAAGAAAAGAGCTAGAGATGTTTTTGTTTTGGCCATTTATGAACAAGCAGATAGAAGATAAAAATTTCAAAATGTTCTATATGTAATGAATACCAGAACAAAAAACATAAGAGAGCCTATGATACCACATGAAATTCCCAATTTACCTGGTATAAAGTTGCGACAGATTTATTTGAGATTAACAAAGATGTATATTTTATTAATTGTAGATTACTATTCCAACTTTTTTGAAATCTCCAAACTACCGGATACTCGAAGTCAGACAGTGATCAGTTACATGAAATCTCATTTTGCAAGATACGGTATACCATTGATAGTGATATCTGATAATGGACCTCAGTTTGCAAATAAAGAATTTTCAGAATTTGAAAAGAAATACCAATTTAAACATATAACAAGCAGTCCATACCATCCACAGTCGAACGGATTAGCAGAGCGTTCAGTACAAACAACGAAGAAATTGTTAAAGAAAGCTCAAGCAGATTATGCTGATCCTTATTTAGCATTGTTAGCTCATAGGAACACTCCAACTAATGAGATGCTAGGATCACCAGCTCAACGACTTATGAGTAGAAGAACAAGAACGATTCTTCCTACATCTGAAGAATTACTTAAACCTCAAGTTGTGAGAAATGTAAAAGAAAAAATCAACCATGAAAGAACTAAACAGAAGTCATATTATGATCGTCATACAAAAACATTACCATTGCTAAATAAAGGAGATTGTGTTCGGGTATATCAAGATAATCGCTGGAAACCAGCAGTTGTAGAAGTGCATAAGACGCCTAGATCATATATACTTAGATCAGGTGGATTAGTACTGAGAAGAAATATAAAAGATATTAGAGGAAACAGTTCAGCTGTTGATGAGAATATCAGAGGAACAGAACAAGGAGTTAATACACAGGAAATAGATGTAAAAGGATATGATTCCAGATATTCTCAAGGGCAAAGTTTAGAAGATCAACTACCAAACTCTGCTAACTCAGAAACAAGGAACGGTGAGCTAAGAACTAGAAGTGGGAGACTGATTAGAAAGCCGGCCAGGTATTTGGACTGATTTTAGACTGTTAAAACTTTTGAACTCTTTAAAAAAACGGAAGATGTAATATTTAATAATTTGTAAATGGTAACATTTAATATTTAGTAACTTGTAATTGGCAACACTTTGGATACAGATTGGAAAATAGAACTATGCTGGTATTGCAGTTCTCTGTGATTATACATTCTAAGATTGTAAATAAATAGTTTCTAATAGCTAAAAGTGTACCCTCATAATTTTATAGTGTGGCTGACAAAAAATAGGGCTCGGGCCCCCATGCCCTTATTTCAAGTACAGTTATTTAAAAATGAAGTAATCGACTGTGCCTATTTTCACTTACGGTGGAAAAATATGTTTCGAAATTCCGAGTTCCGCAGTACTTTAACTGCCAGAAATGGCACCACTCCTCGGAGACTTGTCATGTTTCCCCACGATGCGTGAAATGCGTTGGACATCATAAAACTCAGGACAGCTATAAAGGAAGTTTAGACGTCCCTAAGTGCTGCAACTGCGGAAAAGAGGGTCACCCAGCCTCGTATAGGGGTTATGAAAAATTTCCTAGTCTTAAGAGACCTAAAAAGCCCGCTTCTGATCCCCGCAATGGTGTGAGTTATGCTCAGACTTTAAAATAATCAGGTAGTGAAGAAGAAAATGCCAACTCCTCTTCGGAACCTGCTACTATAGACTTAAATTTTTCTACAAATCTCACCAACGGTAGAAACTGTATGAACTCCAGTAGTTTGCCAAACGGCAGTAATCTGATGGAATTATTGGAACTAATGAAAATTCTATCTGGATTTCAAAGAACATTTGGTACTAACCTACACAAGGTCACGCAAATTTTTAAAAGTAAACTGCCTGTTATGCAGGCTGCAAATGACTTAGGTACTAAATCTAACGTCCTCTACTCTGTTGTGGAGGAAATAAACGCTTTAAATTAACTCAACTTTCTACGTCGCTTATTTTGTGCTAATGCTTAGTAGGTCTCTTAAAATTAATTCTTTAATACATTTATAAAAATATATAATAGAATGTTAAAAATATATAATTTTCTGTATTTAAATGTTTATAGTTAACTGTTTAACCTTTGGTATCACCTCTTGCTTTGGTTAAGACTGCTGGGTATTTTTGCACTCCTTAATTTTTGCTTCCTCCTAAGTGGCCCACCAGTGGCTGAGCGGTAAAGTCGCTGAACACTGGTAGTTCGGTCCGAGGTTCAAATCCCGCGAACGGGCTGGCTGCATGGGCGTTTTCGTGGTTTTCCTTATGTGTAACGTGTATACGAGCCAGTTTCCCTTAGAAAGTCCTCCACGAAGGTTTCCCTCCCCTTAGGCAGATAGCCCTCGTGTGCTTTGCCATAATTAAATACACCAACACCAACACCAGCTTCCTCCTAAGTTAAAGTACTCCTCATCTTACGTGCATTTCCCAGCCCTAATTTGAGCGTCGCCACTGGTGTAGCCCTGAAACATTTCATCGAGGACTTTTTCCACTTCCTATACTGTTCCTGATCGACGTAATGTTTACTTCGGAAACTCTATAATTGCTTTTCCCTATGAGTTTTTCAACGTAATGTTCTCCCTCTTCTATAGTCGGACACATTACAGATCGAAAATCGTCAACATGTTTAGCCGGGGATAGCGCTGCCGCGCGGGTGCCTGATGCTTGCGAACTTTGTTCGCCTGAGTCGACCTTTCAAAATTTTTCTACATTTCTACACATATCCATCTGAAACATGTTTTTAATTCTTTCTAGTTTCATCCCAAATGAATATTCCTCGGAGAACAGCCTTAGTTGTTCCAACATGGCTCCTTTAGGCCCATATCACACGGCGTTTGTTTCATTCGAACAACTGTTTCGGACAATTTTTTTCACTGGTTTACTATTGAAAGAAAGACGTGCGACTTTTTCTTTCCTTTCCAAAAAAATTGCAAGTTGTTCGTTTTCACAGTCAGCTATCAGCTTGCTTGTAATGGGGAACTAGTTTCCCCTGTGATAACCCCAAAGCGATCTTGGCTGTTGTGACAAAGCCGAAAAATTGTTCCAAGCAGTTGTTCTTCCGAAACAAACCGCCGTGTGATATCAGCCTTAAGGGTACGGGCGAGATGTAAGTTCATAACATTCAAATAAAATATCGTGCATCCCCAGTATGCTCTCTTAATTGCTGATAGGTTAATGAATTTCTGTCGCAAGATGGACCAATTAAACTACCTCCTACTGATTCAGGTAGTACATCATCCATATTACATAAATGGCGAAATAAATTAGAACGAGATTGAAAATATCTTCCCTCAAAAAGTGCAAATTTCTTTTTTAAGAATAATCTATCCAGAATGAAATAACTTTAACTTTGTACGCAATGCTAGAATATTATGCAAGAGCGACGGCTGGCATACAATTCTGTCAAAAAACTAAAATGGCGGTAGTAAAATTTTTCTACACAAATTCGCTAATTCTTACGACAACCCGACAGGATTTCGGCCAGAACTGAGACCCTCCTGACATTTCATTATGCCAACGGAAGTAAATGTCATGTGAGGAACTGGAGCTAGGGAAAAAAAAAAAGAAATATATGGGGAAAAACGGGATTAAGAGGTGTTTCTGTCTGTTTGGAAACTGATTGCTAATTTAATTCTGTTATATTGCTAAATTAGCTTCAAAAGTCAAGTAATGTGCATTTATGACGAAAACGCATGGCAATTACTTTTGGATCCGATTTCATATATGTATTAATATATCACATTCGTGCTGATATGATCTACATATGTATCAGATAACTAGCTACTTTTGACACTTATTTCTGGATGTGTATCATTTTACAACTTTTTCTGCTTTGAAAACCCAAGTATTGACACATTATGCGTATGGTTATGAAAATGTTGAAATGTAAAGATGCAGTTTCCAAAAATCTGAGCGATGTTTTCTTATTACAGAAAGAAGTCAAAGTATGCATTTATATAAAAGAACACACTTTCACACTATGTGATTACTAGCGTTGGCGAATGAATGCACTAATTTTTTAAGTTCTGTTGAAGTTAACGATCTCCTTTTCAAAACTTAAATAAGATATTTAATAATTGAGTAAATTTTTATACTCTAGGTTATAGCAACTAGTTTGAATTTATGTATCCTTTATGTATCAACTTTTATCACATTGTTAGCTGATGTGTAAGTATTTATATTTTTTGCGAGATCGTTACTATGTTTATCTCATTACCTCCTTTAAGAATCCCTAATCTCTTATGCCAGTGCAAAAATCTCGCCCATTGATTGCTTATCGTATGCGCCAAGGTTTCTAAAATTTTACTGGAACAGGTGAACTCAACTACAGTAGAGCCTAACCAAGGCCAACTAGATTGGCCTAACCTCCTTGGGAGAAACTAGTCGATTTTTCCATAACGTGAAAAGTTCAAGAAATGGGGTACGGTTTAGAAATACTCTTCTCGGCTACATATGTCGGACACTTTGTAATCGAGATGAAAATGTTCCCTGTGTCCCCCCCCCGTACTTTTTTTATCGAATAATTGGTTTTCGTGTAAGTCAATCAATTAGGTATCCCGAAAATGAAAAGTCGCAGAAATATTTCTGTCAACTCGCTGTTGAGGTTCATGTGATACCGATTTTAGAGTGGGTCTTGTCAAGAACCCTTTCAAATGTTTCATTTATTTAATCTTTGATTTTTAAATTATACTTGGCGACTGATTTTTAATTGGAGTAAACCGAAAGAAATTACTCGAGAAAAAAAAATAACATTACTGTTTGAAATTCTGTCTGCATCGTACTTAAGTGTCAGTTTAAAAATATATTTCGAAGGTGTAATCGTGCTTTTCAACAATCAGCAATTTAATATTTTAATTTACATTAGACGCATGATTTCAGGATCAACGCTGGCCTTGGCTAGGATGATTTTGAATTTAACGAAAATTTGCGATACGTTTGTGGCAAAGCGAAAAGCGCGTTAGTTTTCTTCTTTAGCTTTGGGTTTCTGAGTTGAAGGTAGTTAATTTTTAGAAATGTCGAACGATGATTCTGATTCGGAATTCAACGCGAATTCAGAAAATGATGAATGTGATTCTGACAGTGATGAGCCTGTAAATGAGAAACTAACCCTGAAAGCAAAAAAAATTAGACGCTCTAAGGGAAAGTGGAAACTATATTATGAATCTCGTGTTTTTAAAAAAGAATGGTTGGATTTATTCCGTAAGTATAGCTTGTTATACTTGCTTTATTTCTGAGTATTCATTACCCGTATATGGATTCAAATGCATGTGCATTTTAAGGAAAATTAAAGCACTGTGTAACTTTGATACCACAAGTCGCATTTAACAAATTTGCGTAAAATGTATCATTTTCTATGTATTGGAAATGCGAATTGAATCTGCAATTTTAATTAAATTTCAGGATGAGTTGAAAGCAGAAGTTTTCTTCCGAATAATTTAGGAAACAAATGAATGGAAACAACAGTGTTATGCTCTAGTATAGAATTGGGTGACCCTTCAATTAGCGACAAATTTTGTTCAGTTTGGTAATGAAACCCCATTTCTGGTTACCATGATAATTTCAACTTTGTTTTAGCTTCTTCCTTTTTGGTTTAATCCTAGTATCCGGTGTACACATGTATATACATAGTATACAGTGTATACATAGACGTTCTTTGGTCATTTTTTGGTGTTGGCGATAATCGCGCCAAGCCTGCACAGTATACTAGGATTTTACCTCGATTTTTTTTTTTTTTTTAATGTAAATAGTATTGATGTATACGGTGACAAAGTTATGGTAGTGTGCAATGCTTAGTTTGTGCAATTCTCTGATGTTTTTTTAAGTGAAAATAGATCGGTGTGTACATGGACGCCGAGTTATGTACGCATCAATCTATTTTCACTTCTAAAGTCAAAGGAGCAGCTGACAAAAAATATATATCTCAATAAACTACATTTTAAATTAAGTAATTAAATAACATAAAAAAGGAAATTTATCTTAGCACTACATAAAGGAAATATCCACTTGCCTTATCTAGAAATTTCTACGTCTTTAGTCAAACAAAATTCCTTAACAGCATCCAAAAACTTCTTAAAATTATCTGAACTAAAATCTGTAAACTGGCGTTGCCCCCTAAATTCGCAAAAATAAGGGTCAAACTTATTCTTCGGCATTCAACCATACGCATTTCCTTCGTACAAACAGGACACTTATAATAGCTCCTAAGTAAACTTCAAATCTTATAATAGCAAAAACTCGAAATCATACAGGAACTTCAAATTAATCGTACCACGTTCAGCCATTTTGCCGTGTAATCTACAAAATAACAATGTACTTCCTAACGAACATCCAACACACAAACAAGCCTTTACAAATCTTTTCCCATCATTCAAATTCACAACAGTCACGCATAACCAATTATGCTATAATAGGGTTTCCATGACATTCAGGCCCACCAGCGGCCGAGCAGTAAAGTCGCTGAACACTGGTAGCTCGGTCTGAGGTTCGCATCCCACGAACGGGCTAGATGCAGTTTCCCTTAGAAAGTCCTCCACGAAGGCATCCTTATCTTTAGGCAGATAGCCCTAGTGTGCTTTGCCGTAATCTCAATAAACGAAACCATAACATTCAATATACTCTAACCAAACAAGAGACACGCAATTGCAAACTTTTACTTAGTGTGTTTATATTGCAGCAACTGTAAAGAATGCTTTTTTTCGTGATTTTGCGAAACATTTAAAATAATGTAATGTATGTTGAACTGTATTTTGCATATAATTTAGTTATTGAAAATTTTGAATTGATCCCCTATGGTACTGTTTTCATTGTGTTATTGATTTTGTAACAAATAAATATTAAGTAAACAAATAAATATTAAGCTTTTTTTTTTTTTTTTTTTTGTAAATTTTGATATCCTTTAGATTATAATTGTTCTTTATTTCATAAATTACGGTTTCATATTTTCAATTTTAAAATTTCTGCATGCCATCTTACGAGATTTAAACTGATGATCTATAATCCGGAAAAATTGATAATCCAGAATCGCCGAAGTCCTGACGAGTCCGGATTAACGAATTTTGACTGTAATATTTACAAGAGAACTTGAGCAATGTTATTGAGAAAAAGTTTGTAAAATGTTCATTTCTTGGCAGAATTTATTTAGCAAGGCATCATCTGCCATCACTCCTATTATCTCATGTATTTTTCTTTATCTTTTTCTATTTTTCTTAGACAATTTTTGTTTTTTACTGATAATATATAACTAATTTTTCTATCTGATTGCGCAGTAAACAATTTATTATTATTATTATTATTATTATTATTATTTCAAGAATAGGGACTAGTTAATCTCCTCTTTCTTAGTTAATTGGCCATTGACTGTATTATTATTATTATTATATATATATTTTTTGAAGAATAGGGACTAGTTAATCTCTTCTTTCTTAGTTAATTAATTGGCCATTGACTGTATTCCAGTTTCGTCTCCTGACATTAAAAGTAGAATACATTTGTGTTTTCTTTCCCTTTTGCCAGTATCTTAAACTGTTTTATAGTTCAGTGATTAGCTAACAGAGTGCTATCGAAATGAAGTAAGTTTGAACTTGTTGTCAAGTTAGTAAACCATTTAGTTGTACTATTGCCAGGTTACTAAGTTAAAATTTACTAAATTAGCAGCTGATATCAGATATTTTCATTCTATTTATAAATTTTTTTTTTTTTTTTTACTGTTATGATAGCGTGGGTTGAGGAAGATCCAGATAATCCGAAGTTAGCTATATGTAGAGCATGTAATCAAAAGATTAAAGCTCATAAAGGCATTCTTGAAACGCATGAAAAGACAAAGAAGCATATTAGAAATATTTCAGGTTCAGGTAAGTAATGATTTGTATCCTTTTATTATAGAAATAATTTTAAGTATTGCTGTAATTTATATTAATTTCTAAATTTAAATGTTATTTATTATGTTTAAACATTAGTGAATACATGTTTCTTATTAATGGGTAATGTAATTAGGCATTTATTTTAATTGTGATGTGCTTTAATTGGAGCCAGTGTGCAAGGCAATACATTCAAATGTAATATTGAAAATAGCTGATAAAATTTTTAATATAGATTTCATAATAAGATTTGTAATTTTAACCAGAATACTGTCAAAAAGCTATTAAAGTACCTTTAGGGATATGTATAGCTAGCATGTAGGCAGTGTAAACATTGTTGGTGTATAACCATCTCAAAGCAAAGTGGACCATCAGGGTTTGTGATAACATAACTCAGGGTGACCTCAGATTTATAAATGATTACTCAGAAAATTTTGAAAGTTTTCAAGCTTAAAATTTATCGCTGTGAAAACGTTTTAAATACCGAAGATACATCATATGGAGTTCTGCAGTTTATTTATGAACATATTCAGTGTGATCATTCATCAGTATCTATAATGTCGGTTGGCATGAAGTCCTAATGATTTAGTGACTTTCTTGTAGGAATATCCTCAACTGTAGCAGTCTTTGCAATTTTCTTTCAGAAATTGATAAAGGATTTATGTTGTGAAATTTTTACAAACTTGAGGAAATATTCTTATTATTCAAATCAAGACTGTTTTTTTTTTTTTTTTTTTTTTTTTTTTTTGTTAAAACCCTTACAACAATCAAAACTTTGTAAAGGTAGAAATGTCACATATTTCAGCAGCTTGAAGGTAATATGACATTTCTCATTTTATATAACTAAGCTTATGTTTAGATCACTCTGAAAGCTCTAAGAATCCTGTTAATGAAACATTTTCCTGATATAAAACACCTGGGACTTAAGTAATACATAACAACTGGACATAAAAAGAATATGGCATTTCTCATTTCATTTAACTGTATATACATCATGTCTTCAAAATTCTATGACTTGGTGGCCTGGTCATAGGCATACACTTATTTACAAAAGTGTGTTAAATAAGGAAAATATTCATGATATGGTATTTTTAAGTTTTAAAAAAATATAAATTAGTTTTCTAAAAATTACCAAAATCTTAACTTTTTATACAGTCTTCAGTCTTTATAGCTACATGTAGTAAAAATTTGTGCTATTCTAAAAAATAAAACACACACATACCCTTCCCAAAAAAAGTTTCTATAATTCAAGGATTTAGCAGAAAATAAAGTATTTTCCATATTGGCCTGAATTGCATATGTTTACTTCAGATGATGGTTTGGGACTGACAAGGAAGGACAGTACTGGGCATGTCTGGGCTGCAGTTTTTCAGTGGCATGTTAAAGCTTGTAAATAATTTTTATTTGGTGTACCTGGAAATCTCAGTTTGGAATGACAAATGGGAAAACAGAAAATATATACCATCTTAATCAGCTGCATAATCACCATCATTATCTCTAATGGTTTACCATATTGAAGCCAAATGCTCAATATGCTCTATAAATAATGGAAGGCAGTTTGAATGCTGAATTAAATCTGACCTGTATTCAGTTGATCAGTATTTTGAAATGGTATTCATTTCAGAAAGTGTTCTGATGTCGAAGCATCTGATAATCTGTTAGAGCAATATCTCTTGAACAAGAAGCATATACAGGTTGTACATAGGGATGCACAACCTGTGGCCTGTCAAGACGTTTTCAAAATTTTGTTGCAATTTGACATATTGATTTTTTGCATTTGAAAGAAAGACTTTCTTTATAGAACACCGTGTTGTAAAATTTGTAAAAAAATATCAATATCTTTAAGTGCAGGGTGTCTGAAATGGAACTATCATACTGCCAGATTAGAACCATCATTTACTTCCATTTCTGTTATTTCAGTATCAGCTACAGAATTTCACCAAATGATATATATAGCTTTAGGTACTAATGTTGTATCGTATGACGCTGGGAAGGTTTGTTACCAAAAGTTAAAAAACAAGAACTATGACATTTAAGAAGCAGAGTGCTCTGGTCAGCCTACTGTATTGATGTTGATAAGGCCCGCCTGCAAGAACTTGTGGAAGAAGATTGGTATTCAACCGCCTGAGAGCTTGCTAAGAAGTTAGGCATTAGTGTCATGTCCATTTGGTCTCACTATGCATCGCATAAATTCGATGTACAAGTTCAATCGCTGTGTGTGCATGAGGTGACTCGAGCAGATAAGGACAGATGTGTTTGGGCCTGCACTAATCTGCTTGAATATCAGTTCAAGGACTGGATCATCACTTATGATGGAAAGTGGATTTACTTCAAACGCACAGACCAAAATGGGGGTTGGTCTGCACCCGACGACCCCATCGGCGCATCGCAAAGCACAATTTAACTAAAAGATCATGCTTTGTATCTGGTGGAATATCTTGGGATAAGGTAAAACCCTAGACAGTAAGGTGTACAGCGAGATGCTAGTCCGTGTTGATGCTGCCATCAAGGAAAAACATCAAACTGAGTTTCGGTGCAGAAAGATAATGTTCTATCACGATAATGCAAGACCACATGTACCTGCATTCACTGGCTGGACTCTGTATGGACTCAAATGGGATCATTTGCTGTACACCATACCATATAGGCCCAACATTGCTCCTTCAGAATTCTATGTTTCTTGCAGCTACATCTTGATGGTGCTATCTTCCATTTTGCACAGGACATCCGAAATGAGGTTGAATCTGTTTTTGGAATCGTGGCCACCAAATTTCTGAGTCAAAGCTTTGAAAAACTACCAAAAACGTTGGCAGAAAATCGTAGATTTAAGTGGTTATTACCGTTGTTCGCACTTAAGACACTGCTTTCATTTTTCCCCCCTTAACTTTATTAAGAATGTTATTTGGCAGAAAACTTTCATTACAAAGCAGATATATTTGTAATAGTGTTAACAGTCTGACAAAACTCGGAATTTGTTTGAAAGGAGCCTTTTACTCTGAGTAGTTAAAATCTGAACTTATTCTTGTGTTCTGCTATGTATTTGTAGCTGATATATAATTATGTCATCTTTTAACATTTGTATTTTTTTATAGATGATCTTGAAGAACCAAGGCAAAATGACAGACCAGAAGCAAGATTTGGTGGACCTATTCCTATTGACCAGGTAAGATATGTTTTGTAATGTGTTTAATTTTCTACTTTCAGGCCTTTAGTTTAGTTTGATGGTTTGTGACAGTTGAAATTTAGAATCCTTTTGAAATTTTTTAATTAAACATATGCATTGAGATTGGGATTTTTAAAGTTGTAGTGCAAAGAAGAAATAAGAGAAAAACATTAATTGTTGCAGTCTAATAATCCTATATACCACTATGCCTTTTGAATATTGTGAATAGTAAGTGCATTATAAATAATGATATGCTATACTTAACATCTAACAGAACACGATAAAGAATTGCAACTTTAATAAATGACAATAATTATCTTCCCCCATACTATAACAGGGTTTGTACGGTCCTTAAAAGTCCTTAGTTTTTTTTAATCAATTTTTGGTCGTTAAAAGTCCTTAATTTCGGGCAAAATCAGCCCGAAATCAAAAGGTCCTTAATTTTAATTATCTGAAATTTCTGTCTTATTTTTAGAACTGCCATTTTGAGTGTGCATTAGCATTTTGGAGGGACATTTTTGGCGATTCACTGACAAATTTAGTTATCTTTTGAATTCGTGAAAGGGTTCATGGATTATCATGTGTTCCTATTTCTAATATAATATAAATGGTGGGATACTCGAGTTTCCGAGCAAGAAGTGAAACATAAGCATTTTAAAATTATTTCATTTTTTTCTAACAAAGATCTCTTGAACAACTTTTTTCTGTTGGGGATGTGAATTCTTTTATTAAACTGTTCTAAATTTGGCGACCTATCAACATTTTGGTGATTTTAAGATCAGTTTCTATAGAAAATTTTTAATTCCGAGATCTGGGAATTTTTCGACAATTTTTTTTAAAGCTTTGTAGCATTGATAAATTTCCTTAAAATAATTGCAATATATTGAAATTATATTTTAAAAATAAAATAAAACATTTTTATTTTTCACTGTCATATGATAAAATTCCGTTTTGGCAACTTATACAATATTTTGAATCTGAAAAATAAACAAAGTGTAATGCTATAAAGGCACAATTTATGAAACAATTCTTAGCAAAAACAAAATTAGCCGTGTAATTAATTAAAAATGTCTTCTTTTTAATTTTTTCATAGTAAGTGTTTTCCCATTTAATTGTCTCTGAATATGCATGTTTTCTTTATAAAATTAATTTTGCACTTTTTCCTATGTGTGTTCCCCCCCTCCAAAATATTTCTGGCTTTTTGCTATTTCAGAATTGGTAGGAATAATTTTCTTTAGGATTTTAGACATTTCACCTGGGAATATTTAGAAGGATTTGATGACAAGAATTTTATAGACCCACGATTCTAGAAAGTTCCAGAAAATGTGACAAAATGATAAATGTCTCCATGGTATTAACATGTAGTAGATGTGTTTTACAAAAAGTTTGCGATGAATTTCTTTCTTTTTGGGGAACCCTGGAAAAACAATGTAAACATAATATTTGAATGTTTTACTTCTGATACTAGAATCTTTTTTAACAAGTTTATCTTCCTTTTATTTTCTGTACTTTTCGCTAGACACGAGCATGGGAGATGTCAAAAATGCTTTTAATCGTATCACATGGACAGGCATTTTATAAAGGAATTTTTCGTACTTTTCCGTTTTGCTGGCGCAAACAATAAAGTAGCCAATAATGGTACAATTGATGCCAAACGGAATATCTTCGCTGGTAACCTTTTATGTCTCATTTTCAAAACAAGTCGCAGTCATTTCTTACCAGATTGATTGTTTCTTTCTACACTGTCATACAATTACATAGAACATTTACAAAGATAATTAAATTTTATGTCCTAAGACCATTTGCTGCAATCAAGTCAATTAGAACGCAATCACACCGCTCACCCAAAGGCGAAAATATAGGAAAGGCAAAATCAAGGGTTAAATTCATCAATTCTAATGAGAATGCACTAGTGAAGTAAAGCACTGCGGTTTTACATAATTTCTGAGTAAGCTATTCGTACAAATTGAATAATTCTTGCATTTAAACTTGTACTCCAAATTAAGATTTAACTTGAAATTAATGTAAATAATTACTGACAGAATTATATTTTTGCAGTGTAGTTTACGTAAGGTGAGATCGCTTGGGGTCACGTGATGTGAAATGGCGAATCAGGATGTTAAACCATGATAGCATAGTAAATTCTTAAATTAATGTCTTTTTACAACTTTATTGTCTTTTTACAAAATTTTAAACCATATTAAAATGTTTATGCCTTCAAAATAAAAAATTCTTAGAACTAGCATTTATCTAGTTAATATTTTTTATGTGTATACTGTATGTTGTCGCCAACAAAGTCTGCTTGGTGAGATTTGAGTCGGAGAAACTGAAAAGTACCGAATTTTTTTATTAATAAAGAAATTGAAAACTGGCAATTTAAAAGATTCATCTAATATGTCTTAATGCATCTCACACACGGCTGGCACTAGACATTTTCTCACCTGATGTGATCTCTGAGGATCTTACATTCTTCTGTCTAGTGCCTTTCTAAATTCTGCTTCCAATGCCTGCTCTAAATTCTAAAAGTTATGCCATTTCTAGATTTTGTTGCTCAGTGTGCCACTAAATTCTAAAAATTCTACCACATTAGCTCTGTAATCAGCCCTTACCATATGTATTTCATATTTCTTCTGTTGAATGTTCATATTGCTAAAGAAATAAAATTAACAGCTTTTTCTACACATTCTAAATGCATTTATTTATTAGAATTATGCATTTATTTTATTTTAGAATAACATAAATCCTTAATTAAATTCAAACATTTTGAAGTAAAAAGGAAATGTGTTGAAGAAAAACTGAATACATAAAGAAAATTATTCTTCAAAGATATGTATAGTTATTATTATGTAGTTTACCCGGTTTTTATAATTTCAGCTTTTACTCTAATTTCCCATTTCTGTTTCCTGATATGAGAGATTTACTGAGCTAGCTTAAATTAAAATTGAACTGTTGGTCTTTGACCACTAGTCCACATTTTTAAGATGAATTTGACTCTTCTTGTCTAATTTCATCACTATGAGCTGTAATTGATTTTCTTAGCATAAGAACATGCCTTTATGTTATAAGTTCTTATTAAATAAGGGGCTTATTTAAACCTTTGTCTAACTTTGTAGTTACATTCAGACATAGTTGCTTTACGTCAGTCGGAGGCGGCAGACTTTTACCAGATGAAGTAAACCCTCATAGGTACATTGTGGAGAGGTTGACAAGTTAGGAGATAAGCATGCAGGAACTAGTGAGAACATTGGTTTGCATATTGAGACAAATTTCTGATTATTAGAAAAGATGCTTAAAGAGAAGGAAATCGATATAAATTGGCCAAAATGTCTGGGAAGGCTTCAAATTAAAAAGACACATAAACAAAAAATTAAAATTATGCGTCATTAAAAAGACGCATGCAGAACATAAATGTTTTGTAGCTTTTAATGTGTAATTATCCTAATATTGTTTAAGAATTAATGTCATTAATTACATGTATTTTAAACTGTGAAATTTTTATTAGATTGTGATTTTAATAGGGCCTTTTTAGCAAATGCAGTCAAAAGTCTTTAATCCAGAAGTCCATAATCTGGAATGATCTATAAACCGGACCTCAAAGCTACAAACTTTCTGCGCATGCAAAAACGCATAATGCATTTACGGGTATATATAATGCGTTTACGCATGCAGATATGCGTTTGCGTATGCGGGTTTAATGTATAACGGACGGTATAACCTGAGCTAAAATTATCTATTTCAGTTAATGTTGCAGACTGTTAGAGCAATTTTATAAAAGTAAGCTGGAACTTTCGATTATGTCAAAAAGAATTTCCGATTCTGGAGCTGCCAAAGGATCTACAAAGCGAAAGCATGTTTCGATGTCCATCAAACAAAATGTGGAATTGCTGCAAAAAAAGGATAAAGGCATATCTTTTTTGCTTCTCTAACCATTCCGAAATCTGTTTATCAATTTCACGCTGCTCTGCGGAGGGTAGGGGACGTCGCGGCGCACAATGAACTGGAAGTTGATCTGTCAGCACTATCCTTATCTTCAGGGCAGATGTTTTTATTTTATTCGGCTTATAATTCCTTACTAAATGTAGTATTTCATCTCGATGTACTCCGTCTTTGATATGATTTAAATCAAATTTCTCGTCATTATAAATATCACGAATACACATCAAATAGCTTTCTGGTTGCAATTTTCTAATTTCGACTATGCGTAATGTATGCTGTACACATGCGCACGTTGAAAGAAATGTTTAATTACAGTTTCATATTTTTAATTTTATGATTTCTGCATGCCATCTTACCAGACTTAACTTGACGATCTATAATCCGGAAAAACCGATAATCTGGAATCACCGTCCTGACGAGTCCGGATAAAAATTTTTGACTGTATTTTTAATCAATAAATATAATTTAATAGTGGACATGTCGATCCATAATGACTAAGGTTGTATAACTAACTTACCCTTAAAAATTATCTCTGCATATTATTGTCTTTCATTAATCCTTACTGTGGTCACAAGATAAAACACAAAAATGTAAAAATTCACGTAAAACTTATTCTTTTGCATCTAGTGAGACTTAAAATAATACAAAACAACTTATCACCTCTAGTGCTTTAGTGGCTTACTGGAATCTTAAAGTATATAAACTGGGTTACAACCCCTAGAACTCTACATGGAGCTGTGATACTCTCTGTGTCAGACAAACCCCCAACTAACTTTCAAAACTTATCAACCATGCCTACATTAGGCCTTTCAGGTTTGTTCTGATCAGCAAGTCTCTGTAGGCAAGCAGCAGCGGTGGCAACATGCAGTCTTTTATAATGAATCATGCTGATTATGATTTTACTTCTCATTTTAACTTAACGCCGCTTGACATAAAATCTACTTATGATTTATTAAACTGCTAGACTGAGCAAGTATGTGACAAAATGAGACATGAAAAAAAATCAACAAAAAGCAAACTGTTAGTAAAACGTAAATAATATGTCACTTATATTCTTTCAAATATGTCCAACTATTATAAGTGTTAAATATTTAATTCTACTTTGTAAATTTACAAAGTTTACTTAATTCTCAAACTTATTAATAATTATGTTAATTAATATTTAATAATGCATCCTAGTTATGGATCTATTTTATTTTTAGGTCGCATTACAAAAATGAAGTTTAGGCATACATAATATTTTTAATAGAATTTATTCAATTCCCATTTGCTCATAGGTCCTTAATTTTGTTTAATAATGGTCCTTAAAAGTACTTAATTTCCGTGTGCAAAAATGTGTACGAACCCTGATGGTAGGATATACCTAGGAAACTTTGTTTATAAACTTGTGGGTATAGAATATGGCTAACAAATGGTTAATGATGCTATCAGGCAGAAAAGAGGGGAGATTTTGATGTTTTTTACATGTTGGATTGGTAAAAAATTCGTCACTGAGGATTGATCAGCAAATATGCAAGAGTGTTGGGTGGTTAATCAGAAAGCACCAGCTCAGATGTTTTATCTGCTGATTATTTCTGTTGAATTTATTTTTTAAATTAGGAAAATTATATATGCTCTACCTTTATATCATTGCTATTAGTAAAATTTCTCATATGGTCTGTATCTTTTTAAAAAATCCTATGATAACATTCAAGAAGGAGAGGAATCAAATTCTAAAGGCAGTCTATCATTGAATAATAAGTAGTCTTTGCTTGGCCTTTATCGTACTCATTGCTTACTTGTGGCTATAGTTATCATTTTTATGTTTTTTCTTTATGAAGTAATGTCAGTGTATCTGAACAAAATATTGTCAAGTAGCTTTCTTTAATCTGATAAATTGTCAGTTTAAATCTTTTTGAAATTGCAAAGTATTTTGATATCAGAAACATCAGTATTTTTTGTTAAATTTGCCAAAGCGTCAAAAATGGTGGCCTATTTATATTGTGTTGTGAATGCTTGGACAAATATAATACGCATATAATGTTTAATATGTATAAAGCGAACATAAATTGCTGTGAAGAGGGGAAGAACTGCCATTTCGTTTCGCTTACGTACGCTGCAATCTGTTTTCACTTTAAAGAAAGAAAGAATTGTATAAACTCGGCATTGCACACATTAAATATATATATATATACAAGTACACATTAAATATATATACAAGTATATATACACTGAAGGCCCATTACATTATGACGACCACCCTGTTAATAACATGTAGAACCAACCACCTTTAACATTAAAAAATGCTGGCACCCGGCGGGGCATTGACTTTATAAGGTGCTGATAGGTAGTGTGACTTTATTAGGTGCTGATAGGTAGTCTGTCTGGTACGAAGAGCTCACCAACTGATCCTGCAGTTCCCACACATTGCAAGGTGGTAGCATGGCAGCACGAATTTAGTTTTCCAGGTGGGACCAGAAATGCTATTAATGTCAGGTGAATTTGGAGGCCAAGACATGACTTGAAAGTCACTGGAATGTTCCTTGAACCACTCTTTGACAATTCGACCCTTATGACATGGTGCATTATCCTGTTGGTAAACGCCATCCCCTACCGGAAATAATGTTGTCATGAATGGTGAACCTGATCTGCAATGATGTTCATGTAGCACACATATGTTGTGGATTGTTCTGTAGGAATTATGGGTCCTAATGTGTTTCTTCAAAACATTTCTGTATCATAATACCCCCGCCACTGGCTTATCTTTATCCAGCTGTGCATCCGGGAACTAGGGTTTCATTTGGAAATCGGTGTATTAACACACACCCGTCAATGTAATGGACCAGAAAATATCATTCACTGGACCATGCAGCTTCCTTCCATTCTTCTGATGTCCAGTTTCGATGTTTCTTGGCCATTGCAGACACAGTTGCCAATGATGTGCCATCATTGCAAGGACATGCTTCAACCTCCGGCTGTATAGGCCCATACACAGCAATGTATGCTGCACAGTGTGTTGAGAAACACTATTTGGGTTGCCACTGTTGTAGCTGGTGGTGATTTTGGCTGTTGTAGCTCTTCAGTCACTGCGAGCAATTCATGACAATCTCTACACTCCTGTGGAATAAGTGCGCCATCGACGACACACTGCTGGACGGCAACTTGTCGTTTCAGCATCCATACGCCACTTTCAATATGTTCCTGACAATAACTGCACATGAACAGCCCACGAAACTCGCCGTTTCTGATATTGATGTTTCCAGTCACCGAGCCATAATGATTTGACCTTTATCTGATATATCAGGTTTTTACCATTATGTCGCTGGTCATGCCATGTTTAGAAAGACAATGCATAGTCGCTTTATTTACTTTAGCATCAGCCGTGCAGTGGTTTTATTCCTGAGTGAACCCAGTGTTATAAACGGAGGTTGGTCATAATGTAATGGCTCTTCGGTGTGTGTATATATATATATATAAAAATTTATTTATAAAGTAGATATTTTTCCATTAAACTTTATGTATCAATTGGGTTGCACCCTCTAGTTAGATTTCACACTATGTTTGATTCTGAGTGGTAACCTTTTAACAGAAAAGTACAAAGGCACCTCATAATAGATAATTATTACTTTTATTAGACAGTTTTTTGGGTGTTCCAGTTGATAAATGTATTTATTTTAGTATAATTAAAATATATTTATTTTTAGTTAAATGAAAATTTTAAGAATTTTTGTGGAAATGAGTTAGTTTATAAAAATAATAAAAATTCAGCGTCTAGTGGTATGGTATACCCAATAATTTGATGCATGTAATATCTGATAGTGCTGTCTGTTGAAGTTATGAGTTTATTATATGGAAGCATTCTGCATTAACTTCAAGAATAGCATTACTTTGGTTCAATTCCATTAAAGAAAGTAAAATCATTAATTGCCTTAGGATTAAACCTTCTAAACTGCTGAACTGAGTTCAGAGTGTTCCTTTGAATAATTCTCTAGTCATCCTTTGTAAAGACAAATAGCTGATTAAATTAAAGAAAATTAATAATCTGTAACATTTACAGAGTATTATATTTACAAAGTAGTGGAGAAATTAATAATCTATTCTCTTTATTGATGATTTGACAAAAAAATTAGACGGGTAGGTAGTCAAAACTTAAGTCTTTAGACAAGAAAGTATTCAAAGTCTTTAACCCTCTGAACGGCGCAGGATTTTAGATCCGTCATGAAACTGGTATTTAAACAGCATATATTAATTGAGTTTGTATAATTACTTAGTCTGTATTTTTATAAACTTACATTCATTTAGATGATACAGTCAAAAGTCGTTAATTCGGACACCCATAATCCGGACCTCAAAGCTAAAAACTTTCTGCGCATGCACCTCGTTGACACATGCGCATAGGCGTTTACGCGTGCACGTAAGACCTTTACGACTGGCCATAAGCGTGTGCTCAAGCGCAGAATACGTTTTCGCGTGCGCGTTTTATGTATAACGGACGGTATAAGCTAAAATTATCTAATTATCTGTTTCAGTTAATGTTGATGAATGCGTTGTTCCTTAATCTTCGAATTGGATCCGGCTTGTTATTTTTTGCAGACTGTAAGAGCAATTTTATAAAAGTAAACTTGAACTTTCGATTATGTCAAATAGAATTTCTGATGCTGGAGCTCCCAAAGCACCTACAAAACGAAAGTATGTTTCGATGTCCATCAAACAAAAAGTGGAATTGCTGCAAAAAATGGATAAAGATATGAAGAATGTGACAGAGAAGTTAGTGAAAACGAAAAAATTTCGATTGACAAGTTAGTCGGTATTCTCGGCACAGCAATTACGGGACTTGAACAGCGAAACTTTGTAACTGAACAAGAAATTATGTCTGTAATAGAATTAAAGAGAAAGTATTATCACATAAAATGAAGCAACTTAAACAACTTACATTGAAAGAAATGTTTAATAAAGTAAACAAATAAATATTAAGCTTTTTTTTTTTTTTTTTTTTTTTTTTTTGTTGTTTGTTGTTGTTGTTGTAAATTTTGATACCCTTAAGATCATAATTGTTCTTTATTTCATAAATTACGGTTTCATATTTTTAATTTTAGAATTTCTGCATGCCATCTTACGAGATTTAAACTGATGATCTATAATCCGGAAAAATTGATAATCCAGAATCGCCGAAGTCCCGACGAGTCTGGATTAACGACTTTTGACTGTATTTACATAATTAAAAAAGTAAAAAAGCAAAATATCTTAAATTATAAGCTAATATGTGTCAAGTAGCAAAACTTCTGATGAGCAGCTTTATCCGGTCCTAACACTCAGAGGGTTAAGACAATATAGTAAATTCTAAAACATTAATTTATTAAGAGTAAGGAATTATGTATATTCAAGTAAATTTTCAGCCATTTAGAGTGTATTTCTAAAATTATGTAGAACTTCCTTTACAGGTCTGCATTCTTACAATAAGTTAAGTCACATTTATAAAATTATTTTGCCGTATTATCTTGATTAATTTTATAATCTGTTATGTTTGATAACTTAACATTACCAGAGTTCTGAACTTTCTGGATTATCACATTTTTACTATATCACTTGTATAATTCATGAAATAAACTTTCTCTTCATATATTAAGTATTTTTGCCATGCAATTATTATGGCTCAGGGATAGTATGATTTAATGCTTAGCAACTGTTAATACTTGGATAGTAACTTATCTTTATCCATTAAACTGCAGTTATGTTTTATCTAAGTTATTTTTTAATCATGGTATTTGTGCATGTTTTGGATGATTTTAGTTTAGCTTATGTTAAGTATACCCCCAATAGCTGAAGCAGTGAAACAGTGGTAATTTGGCCTTGAATTCTATTTTTATTAGTTTAGTGAACTGCTGCATGAATTTTTTCCGCTTGTAAGAAGTTCTTCATAAAGGTATTACCCATACTATACTTTGTTTTAATCAAACAGTTTAGTCTGTTTTAGTATTAACTGTATCCTGGTTTTTAAAAATAAATATCCTTCCAGATGGTGTCTGATGATCAAATAAATTTCTTCACTGAATCTCCTGTTGATGCTGCTCATCAGGCAGTTACAACCCTAATTGATAAATTAGTAGAAAAATATCATGAAAACAGGCTGGAAAATCTTAAACTTCAGAATGAAGCAATGATTCAACTCAATATGGAGCGAGCAAAGTTACTGCGATCTGAAAACCAGCGAAAGCTGGCAAGGAGATTACAGCAAGAAAATTATTCTAAACAAGCTCAGGAAACTAAATTGAAGTTAATGCAGATGCAGCACGAAGTTAAGATCAATGCTATGGAAAGTGAAAGAGATGCAAAACTTAGGGCAATAGAACAAGAGCTAATGTTTGCGAGGCAAGAGTATGAAAAGAAAGTAAAGTTGTTAGATGCTCAACTTTCCTGCATGAAATGAATTGCTGGAGGTTTCACATCAGTTCTTCATGAGTTGTGTTACTAAAGCATAGGTTTATTTCGGTAGTGAATTTTTTTTTTTTTTTTTTTTTTTTTTTTTTTTTTTTAATATCTTATTTACACAACGAGAAAGTTAGTAGCAGAAAATATGTATATGATGTTTTTTTAACTTGATCATATTTTATTTTTTGTAGAATTGGATTTATTATGTTTGCTGTAGTTGATATTCTCATATTATGGTTTCAAGTTCTTTCTTCTGTGGTTCATTTGAAACTATGCAAGTATTCATTCTAAGAATTAATTATTCATCAGTAAACCTCATACATTTCATCAAGCTGTACATTTCATTTCATTGTTTTTAAATCATATATGTGCGCTAGTGCGATAAAGTTTGTAAATTGAAGGTAACATAATCTTTTTAACCATCAGAACAAGGAGGTATTTTCAGTTACAAGTTGCAGATAATATATATTTTATTGGCAAGAATGTAAAGATGGTAATACCAAAGAAAAAATTACATTTTTATGTACACTGCGCAAAAAAAAGGGGGGACAATTCTATATTTCCCATTCTACTGGGCCGATTAACGAAATTCAAATTGCATTCCATGTCTTGAAAGCGTATATATATATATATTAGATTTATATATAGCATTGCTCTAACAGCAGTAGGTATTTTGACATAAAATCTGATTTTTTCTGAAATAACATACCAATTTTTTTTCCCATATTTCGATTCTATGGCTCAAATTATGCCTAGATATTAAATTTGGTAATTTTTGGTGGGGAATTTATGGAGTAATTTTAGAAATTTATCTTGGTGCAATTTTTTAGTTTGAGCCAAGAAAATTAACTTGGCAAACTTCTTAATTTATAGCAACCTATTTTCCTTTCTTTTTTTTTTTTTTTTCCCATTGTACATGAGCGGGGAAAAAGTCATTGTTCATATTTTCAAATAATTTTAATAAAGTGCATAAACCACATTTTCGTTATTGTCACTTATAATAAATATGCCAACTTTCAAAATTCGCCAAAATGTAAATTCACGTATATCTTAGGAAATTTTTAATAAAAAAGTTCTAATTTTTTGCAGGTATGCTTACTTTAAGAAAATGGAAAACATATTATAGGTTATAATTCAAAATTTTTTTCAAAAAATTTTAAAAAGTTATTTAAATATACAAATTTTAAAAATAAATCATAAAAAATGGGCAAAATGCCAGTTGAATTTCTTTTTTGGTGTGCAGTGTACCTTAAGGCTGCTTTATTTACTCGTTATATTAAAATAAATGGCCTTAAAGAAACTTTTTGGTATTTTTACATAAACATTGATAATTTTATGTGAAAATTTATAATGTTTTATAATGTAATTAATTTTATGTTGTTATTAATTACTTATATCTTTAAAATGAGTAGAGTGTGAAGTTTTATGCAGAATTATAATACATTCTTGCAGTGTTTGTATATGTTAATAATTGCATAAAATATAATTCAGCATAAATGTATGGTAAAATTTTTAACTGTTCAAATAGTTATTGATGTCATACATTTTGTTTTCATTAATGCAACTTTAATATAAGGTTCTTTAAATTGTAGTCTCCGTTTATTGTTTCTGAGTTATTTTGAACAAAAGGTATTTGATATTATTTCTTATATTTGTCACTAAAGTATAAATTTGAAGTTTTAATTATTTTTTTTTCATAAGAAAAAACTACGGTTTTTAAATCTTGAACATTAAATTTGAGTATCCGACCTGCAGCCACACTTGTCACACTGCGGCCTTCCTCCAACTTCCCAATGATTCGACCTCGGGTAAAAGCATCCAGATGTCGTCTAACAGATTGATTATTCGCCATTTCTCGCTGAGGCAGCAACTCGGTGTGATTTTAACTGCTATACGGCGTGCAATCTCTTTGCCAGAAATACTGATCTTACACCGACAACATGCTGTATAATACTCAGACACTCCCCCATTACGTCTACCTGCATATCTGCGCATGTGCTACCATACATCACCTTACTTAATCTCCTGATTGGTCTTTCTGTCCGCTCTGCCTCTTCGTTCAGCTGATATGCTAATTTTTCAACTTCGTCCTTAATTTTTGCACACCAGTGTACACAAAGCATCCTATGATTCTAAGCCTGCAGAGTATCCTATGATGGTATTGACAGTTCAAGAACACTGGCTACTTATATAAAGGCAAGAACCCCAGATGGCCAGTCATTTCCAATGAAACAGTGCAAAAATTTAGTTTCACATATAAATTAGTAACTGAGCTATAGGAAACTTGCATTAGCCCCTTATTAAATTTATATCTAAGCTATAATAGATACAACTTATTCTTTTTGTTTAGACTCAGAAAATGCTGCTGCTGAATCTACACATGCATGTATAATGAATGGTTAACATTCATACCTATTTTTTTTTTAAACTATTTGAAGAAAGATTTAATTGCAGTTTGTTCACATACAGCTGGTGTGATATTAAGAAGGGAAAAAAAGTAGCTGTAATCAAACTTTTAGATATTTTTCTTAATATTGTAATTTATCACTGTATACTGCTTAGCTTCTTATTTACAGTAGTATCACAAGATTCAGTAAGTAAAACCATTAAAGAAATCATTTTGAAATATTTCTTGATACATTATATGCATTTTATCACCAATCAATGAGATTAACCTGAGACTGGTAATGGTAAACGTATTGAAATATTTAAAAATTGATATTTTGTGATTTATTGGTAAAAAGATATTACGTTTTTCTCATTCATATACAATTATTAGTATTTTCTGTTTTTGTAAAAAATATAACAGTTCATTAGAATTGCATAAGTTGTTTATATAGAATAAAATGCAAACTCTTTGTCAAGTTTTTCATAGCTCACCACTGCATGTAATCCACAAACAGGATAGGTCTACAAATTACATTAGTAGCAAATATGTGTTCTATAACCAAACATAGGGAAGATTTTGCAATGTTGATTACAACTAAAACCATATTATTTACAGATGCTGCAATATAAATTTTGCAATCGTATGCATGGAAGACAATTCTTCCACTATCTAGTGGTGAAGCATTTGTTGGATAGGTACGTTTGTGTACTGGACATGGAAAATTGTCATGCTGTTACTGAATAGAAATTATATTTACTTGAACATTTTATATGCCATTTCACTGATAAAGGTACATGGGTCCTTTTTTTCTACAGAAACACTGTAAAAGGTATGTCAGATTTTAATACGTTATAGTTGTTATTTCTCTAAATGAAATATGATTCAGAAAAATACACATTTCCTCTCTGAAAACTGTTGTACATCATTACCTAATAATAAATTTCTATCTTTTTTTGGATTGATCAATATCAGAAGATGACTCAATGTTGTTCAGATGACCATGAGATCATTGACCATACACTCCGTAATCTTTTGCTTTTGGAATGTGCTTTAGACTATATTTATATGCTCCTATTGCTAATAATATCAAAACTCCAAGACTGCATTATAGCTCCTTTGATGACCATCAGCAGGGAAATTTTACTATGTTTGTGAATAGAATTGTGATACCCGGTCGATATATGTGTCCTGTACCAACAGGAACACACAATGACCTTTATGGTATTATGTCAAATTTGATGAACTTTTATTTCATTTCATGTAGTAATCATTTTTTATCTGTAATATGTTACAGAATAAAACATTTTAAAACTTACAAATCATGTAATATCTGTATATTTATTAATTTCATTGTACTATAGCTCACTGTATGACTCCCTCTTGAATTTTTGTAGTAATTTAATTGATTTGATTAAAAAAACTGCACCAAAATCACAAGGCAAAAATAAAATCCAAATATTGTAATCTGTTTTAGCAGAGTGAATGTACCAAGAAAAACAGATAATTCACCCATTTAAAATTTTTCATTCAACTCATTTAAGAAATGAAATACGCTCTTAAGTTTGTGTACGATAATTTTAATATTCAATCCTCATACCTTACCTGATTTCACAAAGTAGTTTCAATCTGAAGTATACATGACTAATCATAATTTATCAACAATTCATATAAAAGAAAATAAAAATAGCAAATTATGTATCATATTAAATACATTTAGTGCAACTTTTTGAGTGAATTTGTGACATCTCGTGTAATTACTCATCCGTTTCCAATTCATCAGATCTGTTTTACTTTTCGTTTCGGAACCAGACAGCAAATTTCATTTTGTGAAACCACCAAGTCATTTATCTGAACATGATCAACCATTGACTACTTTTTGAAAATAAATAAATAAATAAACTGAAAGCTTTCAGATTTTATATTATGCCCTGAGGTTTTTTTTTTTTTTTTTTTAAACATTTTGTGTTATCTTTATTTATTAAATATCATGTTCTTCACACTTAAATCATAAAATTCAATTCAACAGCAATATCACAAATATTTAAAAGAGCATGTCTTTCGAATTCCCAGTACACAGTCTCGCACATTGGAGATAAAAATGTTCCCTCCTCCCATACAGAGTTGCTATTGCTCACTTTGAAATCATTGAGTTTCTTAATCAAAGACTTATAAATGCGTTACAAGATATGAAATAGATAATAAAACAAATTCCAAATTAGGGCTTCCAGATGCCCATATTCTAATGGAGACATACATTATTCAAAATTTGATGGCCCTAAACACAGTTGTTTTATCACAACGTGAGAAACATACATACATTTATGCAGATTCTTCATTATTTAACTTCTTTAAATATAATACTCTAATATTTGGTGGCAACAATTGAAAAAGTGATTCACCATTTATAAATGAATCAACGCAAAATGCCAAAACAAAATTAATAGCCTTTCTGGGCAAATTGCCCCTTTGAGCTAAAAAGATTATCTTCAAGAAAGCTGAAAATAAAAAAAGCAGGAAAAAAAAAGATTGGCCCACTTTGAGAACAAACAGCACATGACACTTTAGGAGACATTAATTTTTCCTCCCAAAGACCCATCCTTTAAGGAGTTGGGGAAAAAAAAAAAAAAAAAAAAAAAGAGGAGGAAAAATATTTAAAATAGAAAGCAGATGTCAAATTAAGCATAGCAATGCATATCATAAAGATGAGGTAAATAAAGGTACAGTGAGGACTATACATGCTCTTAATAGAAAAGAAAATAATTATTGATAAAATATTGTAAGCAAAAGCTACAATATCATTTCATCAGAAGTACAGACAATTATATAAAGCATCGGTTAGAGTAGACTGAAGGGTATCCCTTGTATTATTGCGAAGATGTTGTTTCATTTATGTTGATTGTTGAGTAGTTGAATGTTCTGTACATCCGTAAATATACTCAGTCAGTAAATAAAGTCAAGGGAGTGAACAATGCCAAGTTTCTGCAATTCTCTGGTGATTTTTTAAGTGAAAATAGGTCAACGTGTACATGGATAAAGTCAAGGCAGTGCACAATGTCTAGTTTGTGCAATTCTGTGATGTTTTTTTCCATTAACAAATGTATTTGTTATACCAATGTTTTATTATAACTCTCTTGTTCTGATCATAATTTGTAATTTTTCGTGTCGCATTTATGTAGGTCAATGTGCACAAACTCGGTATCCATGTGCCGCCAAAAATCACCAATGGGTACTCGTAAATATACTTTTACCAAAACATCACTGTGCAAGTAGTAATACTTTATTGATTATGCCAAAGCATTCAACTAGTTGATTTATACATGTATAATGGAGAGAAAATTTATGTGAAGAGGTCCTTTGCGAATGATTAGCATACTTGATATAAAATAAAATAATGGCTGATAATAGAACATCACTAATAGCACATTTCCTTAGATAACCACTCCCATAATACAAATCTATTTAAGTAAGAGGTTATTCTCTTTGGAAAGTTCGATTGCATTTTCTACAAAAAAAGCACACACTGTTTTGCATATCATTACATTCGTCCATATCTGTGTTGATAGCAAAAACTGAATCATAATATTAAATGATGAGAAATATGCCCAAGGAAATTGCAATACAGTTTAACTAAATAAATGGTTGTATAATAGAAATATAAAATTGCATGTTTCCACAGGACTTTTATTAAGAAATAAGAGCTAAAAATTCAATAATAGTGGAGAGCATGCAGTTGTCATGAAAAATTTCATTCATACACAGTTTATGAGCACTGGGTGAGACAGTTTTGAGAAATAATAAGTAAGAAAGTTTTCTCATCATCATATTCAAAGACATTTTTTTTTTCATATTTTGTACTTGGATCTGTTTGGGAAAGTGACTGATTTTGCCATCAGTAAAAGTTATCCTGCTTAAAACAGTTTATTATTGTATTTTCTGAAACATGGTTTCAAAATATGTATTTAGAAGATGCAGAAAATACACCAAGGAGGTTAGTCCTTATTAATTCATTTGCACTTTCATCCAAATTTTCCACATTATGAAGAATACAGCTCACCTCACGAAGATCATATTCTTTCATCGCTCTATAAAAATTCCTTAATCGCAAACTGGAATAACAGATATCATGTTTTCTGCAAGGAATAAAATTCCAAATTTTCCTCATTATGAAGAATACAGCTCACCTCACGAAGATCATATTCTTTCATTGCTCTATAATAATTCTCTGATCACAAACTTGAATAATAGATATCATGTTTTTTGCAAGGAATAAAACTTCGGCATACTTTATGAAGTATGTTTTGTGACATGCAGTTGTGAATCAGATCAAAGGTAAAATTCTTTTCATCTTACAGTTTCTAAATTCATTCATTAAAAATTTCTGTCATCATCTACACCATACGTTATTTTTTCATAATTTCAAATTCATCAAGAAAAAAATCAAATACATTTGCTCACATTAAATGACATAATAATTACAACAAACGATGAGTCAATTTCCCATGTTTCTGCACAAGTGCCGATGGAACATTGACATTTTGATACACTTAAAAACTCGCAAAACATTAGAATAAATTTTTATTTCAGAGGCAGAAACAATTTAAAAAATCATCACATCTGAAATTTAGTGTCATTCACTTCACAAATGATGTTAAATTATGCGAAAGCACAGTCATTTTACGATTAACTAAATTATCAACAGAAAAAATGCGTTCAAAATTCAGTATTAAAATAGTATTTTTATAATTAAACAGTTTCAGTGCTTTCGTAAGAGGAAAAAAAAAACTCAGTTTTGTATCCCTGATGGTAATAGTTTTAAATCAATATGCACAAAATTTATTCATACCACTAAAAAAATTATATGAAGTGCTAACAGAGATATTAAAAATTGAAATTGTTTTGTTCTTTTATTTATAATACGTTTAGCAGGAAATAAATGTTAATTCAAAGAACACTGCAATGGAAGTTCTCACATGTCCTATCAAACTTTTGTCAGTGATTTTAACTGAATTATCACCAGAAGAAATTTATTAATAAGCGAACACTACAACAACGAATATCTAAGATATTCTTTGACTACAACAACGTTTGCACCCTAACAAGAAATCTTCGATGTTTGTTTACATCGCACGATAAATTGTTAATCTTTGCCATAATTCACCGCGAAACATGATAAAAAGCCAAATATTGTAACCCATCCAGAAGCCCGTGACGTCACGGTAAACTTTTCCGTACACCTTTGGCGTGTGTCTGTACATAATTGTGACGGACTACCGGAATTATCATTTGGAAGGAAGGTAAATGCGGAAAGAATGGAAATCATTGTCAAAACTACATTGTAACAATGTATTTACGATGTTTTAATATTTCCAGCCTCTAATACAAAATTAACGCAGAGAATGTGATAATTCGAAATACATAAGCTGAAAATCGAATTTTAATTTTTAAAAGGTCACTGATAATTCCTAACGTGTTTCTTAAAGAGCCACACATAAGGTTATGAGAATAATTTAGAGAAAACCGAATTCGACGTTTGGCAACAATATTTTGTTTTGCTCTTTTAAAATGTGTACAAATGTGTCTTGTTTAACCATGTGCTTTTTGTAATGTTTATCAAGCTATTAAATATCTCACATTATATATTTATTAACCATTAAAATAATTGTATATTATTTATTATCCATTCAAATAATTGTGGCAAACTGCAAGAATAAATTTATTCAAACTGCAAGAATTAAAAAGTTTAGATTTTCTGATACCGTAAGTTAATTTTTTGTATATTATAATCGGGATAAATATTTAAATTGATTCATTTACTTGATAACTGCTTGTTGTAGCGATACGTGCAAAGTTGTGCCGGAAGATATATTTCTCTGATTATTAAGACGGACATTCTTGCTCATGTAAATATTTGTAAAATGAGAGGTCTCGCCTAATAATTCGGGAAAAATTACAATTCTAAGATGCATTACCGCTAAGGAGGTGTTTATGCGGGCGGGCTAAAAACAAGATTTATTGTAATCAAAAGAAAGCGGCAGATAGGTAAATAGATGACGTCTAACCAAACATTCATAAGTAGCCAATTTGTTTTTTAGTTATTTTGCCGTTTAAGTATTAGCGATCCTAGGAACTTTGATTTTCACAGTGGTGATAACTTGACAGTAAATGTTTGCCTTCCTAATCCAATCATACTGTGAACTTTCACTGTGTAGTGTACCCCACCAATGCCCATCAAACACATTTCTCTAATGTGAAGATAAACAATATATCTTTCGCACTTCCTCCTGCATGAGTGATAAAGACTGCTGAATCTGAATTCGAACCTAGTTTAGTTTTCCTTATGTGTAACGTGAATACGAGCCAGTTTTTCATACAAAGTTCTCAATGACATCCTCCCTGTTAGGCAGACAATGTTTGTATGTTTTGCCATATTCAAATAACCTAACCTCTGAAGTATTGCTCAGAACTATTTCATTAAGTTTGATGTGTTATGGGTTTCTTATTCTCTTAGATTAGATAGATTTCTTATTCTCTTAGACGCATCTCTGAGATTTTTAAAATAACTATGTAGACGCTGTCAGCTGTTCTCAGAATCGTGGAATATTCCTGAAGAGAATATTCTTATTACCATGCAATGAAATTATACATCACTTAAGAAATGTGTTGTGAAATTTCACATTAGAAACTGAAAAGAGAAGATATAAAGGAAAGTAGGAAATGGATTTGTAGGTAGCTTGATCTCTCTTATAACAACTGTAAGAGTTACACGTTGTTGTCAACATTAATCAGATTTTAATGAGAATTACATATGTTGTTAAAATTATCCCAAAATGAAACAATTATTTTTAGGAATGTGCATTATTGAACTAGAGAGAAACAACCAAAATCCCTGTAAGATTATAACCAGTATCCAAATTGCCACCAGAGTTACCTTGGCACTGACCCAAGTTTCTGATATGGTGGTTCATATGGTGGACAAGTATGTTACTAGTACATTTTTGTGCAAATTTTCCTGTATATTAAAAGGAGAAAATAAAATTGCCTGTGTGTGAGAAAATCAGTCCATTTAAATACTTTTTTTCTCAAGTTTGTTGAATAAGTCCTATAAAAGATTACTGGTCCTGAAGTTCTAATCATTTTCGTAACTTTTCACATACCATTTGTATGCTAAGTGTTGCAGCTGTTTTGTGGGTGCTTTTTTTTTTTCAAAGCAGACTATATATAAAATATAACAAAACACAATAGCTGCTTTAAAAAAAATAATTGGCAACCTCAAAAGTAACATTCTAAATTTGGTGATCTTCCCTAAATTCATCTGTTCTCCCAAATTTGAGATTTTTCGACATTATGTAACTAACTGTGCTTGAAAAGGGTAACCAAAACTAATAACTAACCAATCATAGCTCATTTCTAGAATCACATCTACTCTGGTATAAAAAAAAAACCTGGCAGTTAATTGCATCACTTTTTCCTTGCTTCCCCTTCTAAACTGCCTGCGTCTTAATTTTTTAGAATAAATGTATGTAGAAATTTACCATGTTTAATTATCATTAAATAAGTGTCTGCCAAATTAGTTCCATATGTGTGAAAATAAGGACTAGAAATTCATGTTTTATTATCTGTATATTATTATGTTTATTTGTGTGCCTTAACCACAGCCATAAACCCATTAACATAAGAAAAGGATGAATTTATATTATATTAATCCGCATAATGAATACCTCTTAATCATCATATAAAATTCTTACCTTGATGCTTATAAGAAAAATATATTAACTTAAGTTTTATAAAGGAACATTTTAAAATGAATAAATTTATGCTAATGTCTATGTAACATTATGTCTTTGATTCATTGCTTTTCAGAAAAGTTGACATTTATACAGTCAAAAGTCGTTAATCCGGACTCGTCGGGACTTCGGCGATTCCGGATTATCGATTTTTCTGGATTATAGATCATCAATTTAAATCTGGTAAGATGGCATGCAGAAATTCTAAAATTAAAAATATGAAACCTTAATTTATGAAATAAAGAACAATTATAATCTAAAGGGTATCAAAATTTACAAAAAAAAAAAAAAAAGCTTAATATTTATTTGTTTACTTTATTAAACATTTCTTCATCATCATATTAAACATCAAAATTTACAAAAAAAAAAAAAAAAAAAAAAAAAAAAAAAAAAAGCTTAATATTTATTTGTTTACTTTATTAAACATTTCTTTCAATGTAAGTTGTTTTAAGTTGCTTCGTTTTATGTGATAATACTTTCTCTTTAATTCTATAAACAGACACAATTTCTTGTTCAGTTACAAAGTTACGCTGTTCAAGTCCCGTTAATTGTTGTGCCAAGAATACCGACTAACTTGTCAATCGAAATTTTTTCGTTTTCACTAACCTCTCTGTCACATTCTTCATGTCTTTATCCATTTTTTGCAGCAATTTCACTTTTTGCTTGATGGACATAGAAACATACTTTCGTTTTGTACGATCCTTTGGGAGCTCCAGAATCGGAAATTCTATTTGACATAATCGAAAGTTCAAGTTTACTTTTATAAAATTGCTCTTACAGCCTGCAAAAAATAATAAACCGGATCCAATCCGAAGATTAAGGAACAACGCAATCATCAACATTAACTGAAATAGATAATTAGATAATTTTAGATTATATTGTCCGTTATACATAAAATGCGCACGCGAAAATGTATTCTGCGATTGCGCACATGCACATGCGCAGTGGTAAAAGGTCTTATGCACACGCGTAAACGCCTATGCGCATGTGTCAACGCAGCGCATGCGCAGAAAGTTTTTAGCTTTGAGGTCCGGATTATGGGGGTCCGAATTATCGACTTTTGACTGTATTGTGAATTTAAAACTGAACTTTTATCCCTTTTGAAATGTATAAAAATGTGTTGAAGATTTGTAATCATTTTTAATTATAGTCTTTGATATTGATAAATATTATCATCTTCAATGTATCATTCATTTGCAGATTTTTGAAAACAATGAGAACTGTACTACCTGAAATTCTAGCTAAACTTCAAAAGAATCCAAAGAATATCAGACATATTTGCATTTTAGCTCATGTTGATCATGGTAAGTAATACTTTGTAAATTTATCATTTTTTTATATGATTTTGTATAAAATGTAAATCAAGGTATGAATTTTATGAATTAGGTTCACATAATAAATGAGGGGTAAAAATATATTTACGGTTGTTCCTTGGCAAAAATTGGTGATTTTTAGCAGTACATGGACACCGAGTTTGTGCAGTGTAAAAATCGCCACTACAAAAAGCCAAGATAATAAGTCGAAAAATTGCACAAACTCGGTATCCATATACACAGTGACCTATTTTCACTTTAAAAAACATCAGAGAATTGTACAAACTTGGCATTTTGCACTCCCTTGACTTTGTCCATGTCTACATCGATCTATTTTCATTTAAAAAGTCAACAGAGCAGCCTATTCTCAAGCCAAGCAAAAAATGGTACAACTCTAATATACGCCCTAATTTCACCAAATGTGGCGATATGTGTTCTGCGCTGGTTTTTGGCACGATTACGTGTTCTGGCAACCCTGTTGACGTTGAAAAATCTTTCGCTGGAGCTCGTTGATTCGCCTCTGTGTCTGAGAAGATGGGAGGGAAAGATAAAATGGTAGTTGTTGAATTGAAGTTCGGCAAAAGGAAATATCATTGGGGCTATCCTGTTGAGGGGTAGTGGGTATTTGGAAGTGTGGAAAGAGGGTCTGGGAGATTATTTTTAATGGCAGTGCATGATAGAAGTACGGATTTGTGATTTTATTTATTTGTGAACCATAGTATAAATTTTCTGGATTGTGTGTCTGGCTGTCATGTAAATACGATAGTGATTACGTGGTGACATGTTAAAGGCGGTATGAAATTTATATTTCTGCTATTCGAAAACGCATTAATTCATGCTAAGTGCATTTTATTTAATCCTTGTTCTTATTTTGTAGAATGTTATGTTCATTGGTTCTTTAGTATGAATCTGTCGTTATTGTTGTTTTTTTAAATTGTTTGAAATTTATTTTAGTTTATTTTGTTGTTTAGTGTCTAGACTGTGCAATTTGTAGATGTTTTTTAAAGTTGAAACAGAATGCTGTGTACATGGTATTATTTGAAATTTATTGTTGTTATGTTATTTTATTAAAGCGAGGAGTGCGTAGATCGTAGATTCCTTCCTTGCCTAAATTGTGCAATTCGTAGAATTTTTTTTAAGTTTAAACAGGATGCTGTGTACATGGTATTCTTTGGAATTTATTGTTGTTATGTTAATTTATTAAAGCGAGGTGTGCGTAGTTTGTAGATTCGTTCGTTGCCTACATTGTGCCATTCGTACATGTCGCCGTGTACATGGATTCTTGTCAAATATTTTTGGTTAGAAACTTTACGTTTTTGCTATATAAATTTTTTGTTTTTGTTTCGGATTTTTAGCTAAATTGTATGTTGAAAGCGTAGTTTATGCATGTGCGAAAACCGCGTTTTTGGAGACATTTTAGGCTAAAAGTTCAAAATGTAGACAAAAAATTTAGATAGTAATATGGCAGCATGAAGTTTCTCGCCAAAAATATTTGTCGCGAAATTTGGCGACTTGAGGGTGCATATCAGATTAGTTCCCAAAAAATATACTACATTTTAAATCAAAAAATGAAATAACAAAAATAAGCAGTATAATTATTAGATACCATCTATTTTAATCAAGAGGCAAATCATCATAATTATTCTGTATCACCTTTACAAATTTAGACTATGTTAGAGAAAATTCTAGAGAAATCTTCTGTTTGTAACTTAGAAAGTGAACTGTCTGATAACTGTGTATAGAAAGATTCTTCCTATCTGATCAGGGCCGTCTTAAGGAATTCGGCACCCATGGGCTACTAAAAATAATGCGCCCTTCTTCCTAAGAAAATACACAGAATGGCAAATGGGAGTCGGAAAAGTTATACAAAACAAAAGTGTCAGAACTAGAAAAAAACTATTTATTACTTTTATAATAAACTGTTATCTTTATTGTAACTTTTCTTTAAAGTCACTTATTTAAAAGATGGGTATAAATGTTTACCCAGATTTGAGGGGATTATCTCAATAATGACAGTTCCGATCAGGTTTTAGTCTAATCCTTAGAACTTGATCGGAACTATTATATGATTCTCCATCAGTGCATAACATAAACAAAAATAAAATTTAATTAAATAAAAATCCATTTAAGAACAAAAACACACCTTAATCTAAACAAATGTAACTTATATATTTACTTTCCTAGCTTTTTCTTTGGCAAACTGATCAATAATATCACTAGTATTTAAATTTTCAAATAAATCTCTTTCAATAGACAAAATACTTAAATCATTGAGTTTACTCTGTCCCAAAGAAGATCGTAAGTAATTTTTTATTCTTTTGATTGCTGAAAATGATCTTTCGCCACTGCAGTTTGTTGTGGCGATACTTAAAAATATGCGCAGTGCTGTGGTTACGTTTGGAAATGTAGATTCAATTTTTAACTCGATTATTGTCTTTAAACTTAGTTCTGCGATAGATATATTTTCGGTATTTTCCAATAAATTCACATGTTTAAAATGTAGGCATTCTTCAATAAAGTTGTTTTCTAAATCATTCTGATATGTTTCGCACAACTTTGCAGCATTATTTCTAATTATGTCTTCATTTATATTTTTTAAATTAACTAGAAACCCAAATGTTGAATAAATGTCAACATATGCACATTTTCTCTTTTGTACTTCTTCTAGAATTTTATCAATAATAGCATAATATGTTTTTATGCGGAATTCGTCATTTGCATCAAGTTGCACTTCTTCCGACGTATTTTCGTCGAACTGTCTTTTTCTTTTCCGTAACAGTTTGTATTCATAACAGCCAGATAATTTTATACCTTCTGATTTGTAAAGGTTAAACGAATCTATATTTTGTTTCGATTGTACAAATTTTTCTAAAGAAGCATATAATGAAACAATGCATTCAATTGTAATATCAACTTTTTGAAGCGATGTATTAGTTTTATCGATGGTTTCCAATATTTCACTCCAAAATGCTATCATAATAGCAGTTTCCAATGAGTTGAACTCATTTAACAACCCCTGGGCTTCAACTTTTGTTGCAGGCTTTTGAAAATTATCTTCGTAAAGTTTAGTTAAAGCATTTTTAAAATTTTTATAGCCCGAAACCACTACTTTCACTGAATCAGCTCTTGCTGACCAACGAGTGTCGCTTAATTTTTTGGGAACTTTATTTTTGCTGTTAGCGTATTTTTTAAAATTTCCCATCTTGATGTTGATGCGGCAAAGAAATTGTATAAGTTTTGTAGAAACAAAAAACAATTTAGTTGCTTGTATGCAGCATCTACAGCTGCCGATTGTCCAATTAAATTTAAAGAATGTGCCGCACAGGGCACGTAAATGGCAAGATTATTTCTACATTTTTAATTTAATGCGTGCTTGGAGGCCGTTATATATACCCGACATATTAGAGGCATTATCATAAGATTGTCCTCTACAATCTTCCAAACTAATATCTAAATCAGATAATAGCTTTAAATTACAGTCTTGCATTTCTGAGCTCTTATGGCCAGTATTCTCCAAAAATTTTAAAAACCTTTCAACGGGTGTTCCATTTTTATTGACATATCTTACGACAATGGTTAATTGATCCATATGTGAAATATCGAGCGTCGAATCTACTATAATAGAGTAATATTTTGCCTCTTTTATTTCCGTGATAGTAAAACATCTAACATTTCTGCCCAATATTTTTAGAAACTCATCACAAATATTTGCAGATAAATAAGAAATATTCCCAGTACCTTTATTTGCAAAATTAAATATATGTTGTTGCAAAATAGGGTCAAATTTTGCTAAAAGTTCTAAGCACCCTAAATAATTCCCATTATGTTTATCACCAATAGTTTGATTTTCTCCCCTAAAAGCCAAACCCCTTGAACTTAAAAATTTTATGACTTCGATGATACGTTCTAAAATATTTTTCCAGTAATTCGTATTTTTTTTTTCATTGATATAATAGAATAATTTTTGAAATATTCCCATTTTTCTGTAGATCTGCTCACAATTATACGGGTGTTTTCTTTATGAAGGGCTGAATTTTCATGGTCCGAAATTTTTTCACTGTGTTTCCAATCGTTAACACCTGCACTAAATGGATTATTGGCACTACCAAACAGTTTGCAAGGGATGCAATATACTTTGAAGTATTTGAGAATAAAAGCCAGTTTCTTTTTTGTTGTTTTCCGTTTTGTAAACGTCTATATCATTTTTGTAGCATACCTGCTCTGTGATTTGTAGACCACTTTAGATGCAGAAAAGTCTAGTTCTTGAATATCTACCTCTACGTTAGATATGTTCTTCATTATATCTATAATTTTATCTTCGCTTAATCTTCCCCATAATGCTGGATCAGTATAATTAACACTCAACATATTACTAAGTTCATCTTCATCTAAATATTCTCTTTCTTGATCTTCTGGCTGTGGCTGTTCCATATTTTGTTGTTTCTGGTCCTCTTCTTTTTCTTTCACATTTGATTGCTGGGCATTATTGTCATACTGTTGTTGATTTTTTTCTTTTCCCTCTTTGTGTTGCTCATTCTCTGTAATATCCATAGAAAGTGTTTCCCCTTTTTTAAAGAAATTTGTTAATGTAGGCATTTTTTTCCAAGAGAGCGTTTTGCCTCGCCTCTTTCTCTTCTTTTAATTTACGGTTGGCGGAACCAGATAATTTTTTTCGTTTATGTTCCATGGTTAGTCTTCCTACATAATGGAATAAAAAATTGTTATAAAATTGTTAAATATGTATATATCATTATTAATTAATTTTTAGCTAACATATACACTAGTGGACAAAAAAAACGCATAATCAAAAAAATGGCATTTAGCAAGATAATATTTATTAATTTTAAAAGGTTAAAAAAATAAATTGGTTTTTTTTCTCATTTTATATTTAAAAATATATTTACTTTAAGGTATAAAGAAATTAGGTAGTATATTGAACGGTTTATAAAAATCAAAGTGGACAAAAAAATGCATATTGTTTAATTAATACCT